AACAGAGACTAAATGTGATTCTGTTATCCACCTACTTGGACTCTTAGAGAGTGTGTTTTTGGATGAAAAACCTTGAGGACTCTAGAATTTGGTCAGCCTCTTCTAATGGTCTCTTCACTTGCTCTTCTTTTTTCAAAATCCCCACCTTGCCCACTTCTATAGGGGTAGACTTCCTAGTGAAAGAGATTTGGTGTAAGCCTATTCCGCCTATAATTCAAGCCTTCTGTTGGGAAGTTTTCCTTGGAAAGATTAATATTTGTGATATGTTGCAGAGAAGAAGCCTAATACTTGCCTTTCTCCTCATATGTGCTTTTTATGTAGGGCTAGTGATGAAACTCTTCCTCATTTATTAATCCCCTATCCTTTCAGCTTTCAAGCTTTACATTTGGGAGTTTTTTTGTTCTCTTTTGGTTGCAGGTGGGGCCCCCTAATATGTGGTTGGTATCGTTGATCCTAACTTTTTGAGGCAACCAAAGAAAAGATGGAGGATTTTGTGGAGAGTTACCAAGGCAGCAGTAGTTCGGGTGGTCTAGGAAGAAAGGAATGAAAGAGTCTTCAATGGAAAGAGTAGATCTTTGGAGGAGATATTGGACAATATCAAAATAAAGGTTGCACAGTCCAAAAGAGGAGGCCACATATTTGCCTTTCCCCTCATGTGTGCTATCTTTGTTATGCAAATGATGAATCCCTTCCTCACTTATTAATCCATTGTCCTTATGTGCTCTTTGTTTGGGAGTCTTTCTCCTCTCTTTCTGATTGCAAGTGGAGCTCTCCACAAGATGTTGTGAGCCTTTTCAACCCAAACTTCCTATGGCAGCTGATGAAAAGGGAAAGGACAATGTGGAAATCAGTTAGGGCGGGTGTGATATGGACAAGTTGGGGGGAAAGGAATGCAAGAATCTTCAACAAAAAGTGCAGATCTAAAGGAAGATTTGGTGTAAACCATAAAGTTAAAAGTTGCATATTGGGTAAAAACTCTTGAGCTGTTCCAAAGCTTCTCAGTGGCTGACATAATGTGGGCTTGGAAAGAAGTAGACTTTTCATCTCAGAAGAAAGAGAAGATGGGGATGGAATGGAAGCCCCCATCCCCAAACAAATTAAAGCTGAACTTTGATGGAAGCTTCATAGGGAACCCGGGTTTGACAGGCATAAGGGGGTGTGTTAAGAAACTCAGAAAGCAAAGCATGTCTTCAGGGATTAAAACTAGCCAAACAAGCAGATTTTAAAAACTCAGAGGTTGAAGGGGACTCAAAACTGGTGATTTTTTGGTCTAATTTTAGAAGTAATGCTCCCTGGATCTATAGACATTCCCTGTGAGAGATTGAAAGTTTAGCAAGGGAGCTCAGCGCCTCTTTCACTTGGATCAGAAGGACTGCAAATGGGATGGCTGACTCATTAGCAAAACAGGGAGTTTACAAACAACATCTTTTCTGGGTAGCTTTGTAAGTTATTTTGCAGTACTGACCGTGCTCTTCTCCTGGCTGCAATCTGTTTTCATTGTTCTCTCAAATTAATAAAATTAATCTTATTTTTCTGATAAAAAAATAAAGGTTGCACAGTGGGTAAAAACCTTGGAAAGCTGTCAAGTCCTCTCTGTTATTGATATCTTTAGAGCTTGGTCAGAGGTGGCGGTCCTCTGGAGAAAAAGAAAAAGATAAGGCTGGATCAGGAACCTCCAAAAGGCAACAAAGTAAATTTGAACATTGATGGCAGCTCCTTTGGAAATTCGAGCATGGCTGGAATAGGTGGTGTGATCAGGAATTCTGAAAGCAGAATAATGGCTCTTTGTTCAGGACCCTTTGGATTGGTGAACACATTGAAAGCTGACAGACAGGTGGAAGGAGATTCGAAGCTTCTTTTTTTTTTTTTTTGAAAAAAGGTTAACTTTATTCGAAAAAAGAGAGGTACATGAGAAGATGTACACAGCAATCAGACACTAAGATAGTTACATAGGCAGAAAACTATCACTAAATAAGTAATCCCTGTAAGCACCAGATTTATCTAGACTGTCAGCTTCAGAGTTTAGCCCCCTCGGAATCCAGACCACGTGAGCATTCAAGGAGGAGAGGATGTCTCTCGCTTCAGCCAGGTAGTGAGATAAGGCCCAAGGCCCACTGTCAGGATTAGTAAGCCAATTAATGGTATTGGCTGAATCTCCTTTAATGGTAAGATTTAATAAACCCAGGTCTTTTGCAATCCTGATGTCGGTTAAAGCTGCCATGACTTCGGCCTTTGTTGAGGAGGCTATCCCAATCGGCCCACTAAAAGCCCAACTGATAATACCATCTCTTCTTCGAATTACGCCTCCAATACCCGCTGCACCTGGGTTTCCGAAAGCACTCCCATCAAAGTACAAAGTTGTCTCCCCTTCTTCGTCAAATCTAAAACTGCAGGAAGTGTTGAGGTGTATGTGATTAGAGTGAAGAAAATTTACAGCGTTTCTTTGGAGGTCATCAACTGTGACACCTCTGAAATAATTTGAGCTGGAAATCCACACGAAGCAGCTGTAACAGATTAGAGAAATCAGCTCCTCATAGTTTTTCGTTCTATTGGTAAACACCCAATTATTTCTCTCTTCCCAAATGCTCCAAAAAAATAGCATGTGCAGCGGATTGCCATAAAGTTTTCCTCTTTTGCTTAAACCGCTTCCTGACCATTGTCCTAAGCTTTCTGGGAAAACCCAACTGTATTCAAATAATGTTAGAAAAAAGTTCCAAAATTTTCTAGTTTCCTCACAGTGAAGCAGGATGTGGTTGGTAGATTCCCCGGCTTTAAGGCAGAAACAACAGACATGATGGGATAGATAAGACCTTCCATGGTTCTTTTTTCTGAAGGAGATCATAAGTGTTGATTTTCTTTAAGCTGGCCTACCACACAAAAAAACAGACCCTGGAAGGGATATGAGCACACCAAATTCTCTTGTAGGGGTACTGATCAGTAACTTTTTCTTCCCTAACTAAAGCCTTGAAGCAAGATTTGGTTGAAAACTTACCAGATGGGTGAAGGGTCCACACACGAAGGTCAGGGGAACCAGACTTTGCTAAGGACATAATTGCTGAATTTAATGGGTGAGAAGGACTGCTAACGGCTTAGTTGATTCCCTTGTTAAGAAGGGAGTTATGAGACAGCATTTGTTTTGGGCTGCTATGTAATACTGAATGTAGTACTTTGGGCTGGCAGTCTTTCCTCTTTGTATTAACTTTAAGCTTCAACTATTATAATAAAATTTTCTCTTTTCTGATTAAAAAAAAAATATACTGTCCCGCCCAATCTCAACTTCGGACTTTAAGAAAACCATCTGAAATACCAGATTTCAATACAGACCAAAAGAGGCAACTATAAAAATAGTTGCCGCCACTGAAAAGAGGATCAAAACCCCTCTAAATCAAATCTGATTCAAGATCAGAGAAGAATATATAAAAGGGGATGAGAGAGCAACACAAAGTCTTCAGTTTGAATGAGATTTAAGTTCTTACCAGGCAGATTCAGGATAGAGAAAAAGAGCTGCATGATCCAAATAATGAACCCAGAAAATAAAACAATCAGAACACCATCAAGAGATTTGCCTGCCATCTTTCCAGGAAAAATTGACTACTAAGACAATTTGCAACCCCTACTTCCATGATCTGTTCTGAATTGGTGTTTCTCTTCTGTTGTTATGTTTGTAGGTGTTGCCTTAATACCTACCCAGATCCAGGATAGGTATTGAATGTAAAAGGACAATTCTGTCCTTACAAATAAAGAATACAAAAAAGTTATAGGGGTGATCTAGTACAAAAGATCTATGATACAACTGTGCTCCCACATAACAAAATAATAATGAAAAAGACAAGATTAACCCACATAACCTGATGAATATAGAATGTTGGCTCATGGCATTTTTGAGTTGTTATGGTTGAAATTATTGTTCAATAAACTAAGAGCCACAGTTGATAGTCAAATGAGACTCTAGTGTGACAACAAGGCAACCATAAATATTGCTCACAACTCAGTTCAGCATGATCAGACTAAACATATCAAAGTCAATAGACACTTAAGTAAATAAGGAGGACCTAGGGGATAATTTTTGGGGAAGTCTTGGGATTACTGCTAAACTTTAATTAAGTAAAAAAGGAGGACTTAGGGGATAGTTTTTGGGGATAATCTCGGGGATACAATTATGTAACTTCGATGATCTGTTCTGAATTGGTGTTTCTCTTCTGTTGTTATGTTTGTCGGTGTTGCCTTAACATAATAAGTATTTTTCTTGCAACCATTTGTGTCGTTATCCAACGAGGGGGAATACATTATTAAGGAATGGCATCAAACACCAATGTAATTTCAGAAGCCCAGGGGAGAATATGCAACTTTTGGGAAATAAAGGGGCTAAGAATTATTAAGAGGTTTATGGATCACTAGGTAAGCTATTATGAAAATCATAAATGACTCCTACTAATATGAAAACCTTGAAAGCCGAATTATTGATGTTCTACACATAGTAACCCTGTAATTAATGACCTGTACTTAAAAAGAAAAGTATTAATAACTACACCTTAGTTACAATAATTCTCAAAATCCCCACTTAACAATACATAAAAAATAGTTCAGCAATGTTAATAATACCCTTTAATCTGGAATTTATCTGTATTTCTTCCCTAATCAATGTATCAGATAATGTTTTAATTTGTATAATCATTACGAAGGATTTGATTTCAACATGAGTTATTTCAGAATTGATTGGACAATATTTCAGTTTTTTTTCTAAATTGCTTATGATATCATGAGCTAGTATACTATTTTTGTATAATGCCCTGAGCAAGAGTGCAAGAGATGTTTTTCCCCTTTTTGAAGAATTGATTGGCTATTTTTTCATCTTTTCTTGATTTAATGGAAAATTGACCAATAATACAATTAAATCCCAATCAGTTTGTTAAATGCATAAAGACGTTATCCAGTCTAGCATTGACAATAAGCTCTGCAATTATTCTAAAAAGGAGGCATACAGTTTTTTTCATACTTACCAAACTTATCATCCACATCATCCCTCCTCTCTATTTTGTCATCCGCCTCCTCAGAGAGCTTCAATTGGTTCCCAAAATTTTCAAAACCCTCAAGAAGGTCTGAACTTGCCTCTCCAACAGAATCCGATTCCAAACTCGTATTCAGTATGCCTTTTTGGAAGTCTGGTTCACGAACTTCAAGTCTTGTTTCAATATCCAATGTTGCACCACCCGAATATTCAATGTCAATTTCCATGGTCCAGACCTCATGGATGTCCATGGGAAGAACCCTCATGTTATGGATATAAGGAGGAAGATTCCCAAGATCTAATCCAGTACATGTGACTCCACCAATGTAAGTAGGAGTCCGCATACTGGACAATGTTCTCTGTTCATACAGGTAAAATGAAACATCAGGATGGTATATGAATATGTGTAAGTGTATCATTACTTCTCTTTTGATAATTACAATACAACTACTTTTCTTTTGTTAAAAAAAAATGAATACATGTAAATGTATCCATACATGTAAACATGTATAGAGAGAGTGTGTGTGACAGACGGATAGAGAACTTGTGTAAAGAATAATTTATTAGTCTGCCATATTGTTCAATTTAACCACTCTCCTTCACCCCCCTTGGGAACTATTCCATTCTTCTCCTAATATTTCTCTTCATAGGGTTCCCCATTTTCAGTGTATGATCAAAATATGGGTCAACTTGGGCCACCTATGTGATGCAAACATCAGATAATCAGCATACATCAAACAACTCAGGCCATCTGAAATTCTGAACATGCATTTATCTGAAAAAGAGCAAGTAAAAGAAAAGGATAACACCATAGAGAAGCTATCTGTAATGGATATATTTTTTCAATACATTAATCTCCTAGAACCACCATTTGAAGTCTGCACTGACCCTTAATGTGCAAACTGACAGTACTTGAGAGCATTAAACATATTTCCCACTCTCACACACAAGCACACACACTATAAAAAATAATAATAATACTAAAAAAATTAATAACAAGGATTGAAACCTGAATTCGTGCTTGTATGAAACTTTTCAAGTCTGCATTTCTTTTTGCATCAAAGAAAAGACGAAACATTAACAAATTCCAACAAAGTGTTCCCTCATCAACACCAAATTTTTTGTCAGAATCTGCTTCGGAAATAGAAGTTTGATTTTGGCTTCCTGAGTGAGTAAATGCTGATGGTAATGGAAGTGTGATATCTTCCTCCAAGCTAGTATTTACAGATTTATCTATTGAAGGAGCATTCAACCCACTGACCAAGGATAAATCTTGGACTGAATGAGATTTCTCACCAATCCTTCTCTCTTCTCGGACTGATAATGAAGTCCAACTTGACTTATTCTCAATAGCACTTCTAGAAGCCTTCTTTGCAAGCTTTTTCAGAAAGAGACGAACCTTTGAAGAAGAGCTATCAAGCCCATTTGCTCTATCTGTTGGCTCACCGAAAAAGCCTATTGATGGTTTTATCAATGAAGGGTATCCTGCGACTAAGGATGCCAAATAATCATGGAACTCAGCATTCAACTTGGCGTACCAGTATACTCTTTCTTTGTCAGAGGTAGCAGCCAAACGGAGTGCTTTACACCATGCTTCCTTCTCCCAAGAAGTCTCAAGATACACATAAAAAGTTTTACTTCCATTGTAAATTACCGAGTCCCTGCTTTCCACTTTAATCGGGTACCTTTTGGCCCTATAATGCCCATTAAAAGAAAAAAGAAATTAGATCTTTAAAACAAAATTGGAAAAGCAATATAACTCCTTGCTTTACTGGTCACTGTCAAAATAGTTTGAGCATAAGAAAGAATGCAAGATCTCCATCATTAACATCCCACAAAACCAAAGTGGAATCATGCACATAAATTTCCTATGACAACGAATTTTTTTATCAGTAACAAAATCAAAGGGTTGTCATTAAAGGGTAAGATATAAAATACAAAAAAAGAAATTCCAACAATGCCAGGCAGGACAATAGGATATAAAAGAAACCATCCTTCTTGTTTCTTGTAGCAATGTTGACATGTAATAACTGTTAGAAGCATTATTTATGTATAGGTAGCAGGGCAGTTTGGTCAGTCTATTTATAATTTACTAAAGGAAGGGCAGTGTAATAATTGTACCTGATTTTATTATTATAAATAAAAGTGGGTGGCAGATGGAAGAAGTTAATTAGACTCCCAATGAAATTCTATTCTTCTTGTCTCTCTTTTCTTTCTTCCCCTCAACGCTCCTCTTCTTTCATCCATCTCTATTTTATTTACTTTAAGATTAATCTAAGGTCAATTTACATGGTACCAGAGCACCATTAAACACCTGGGGTTGATCTTATTTCTTTTCTTTTTCTTCTTCCTCGCAGATTATTGGTTGTTGATAGAAGTTTCCATTTGAAAGCTCTGTGGAGTGCGGTATTTGGGAATTCAATGTGGGCCAACTATTTCAAGGTCCATTTCCCTTGCAACTCTCATTACAGTTTGATATTGAATTCGAAAGGTGGATCTTTCAGGTGGCAGAAGAATGTCCCCAATGAATGACATTATTTTACACTCTAAATGGCTCATTGGCAAAGATTGGATCTTATTCTGGCTGGATAATTGATTTGGTAATGAACCTCTATTAAATCATGCTCAGGACCCACTCACCGTGGACAGAAATTTGAAAGCTAAAAGTGTCTTGAATGGAAATGGGGACTGGAATATCTCTCTCTTTGCAGATCATTTGTCTCTGGTGATTGCTGAACAAATTCAAAACTTTGGTTTTTTATTTGTCATAGATATGATAAGGTGGTTTGAAATTTGAAGGCATAATAACAATGGCCTTTTTCACACTTAAAAGTGCTTGGGAATTAATTAGAAACAGAGGACCTATCTGGGAGGGGTTCAAAGAGGTTGGAATGCTGCTTTACCCTCAAAGCTGTCCTTCATTTGGAAACTCTTCATAATAAAATCCCAGTAGATGTCACAGTGTGAAGTATAGTAATTTCAAAACATTGTTGTAAAGAGGGGACAACTGAAGATAGAAATCATCTTTTGGTGGACACTACCCTCGCTCAAAAAGTGTGGGGTCACTTCAGTAACCTTCTTGGACTTAGTTCTCAAAGGGGTGAGCCCATCATTCAACGCATCTGCAGATGGCTCAACATTGCGAGAGGCCGGAAGAACCATTGGGGTTTTATAGTTTCAATCTTATCTACTCTAGTTGGTTGGGAGTTGTGGAAGGAAAAATGTAGGTGGAGGATGTCAATCATGCCCAGCTTGCAAAGATTATCTTTTAGCTTCAATCTGGGAACACATTTAGTAAGACAATCAGCAAGTTGCTTCTCCAACATCACAAATGGTAAGAAAATCTCTCCACCGACAATCATTTCTGTAATAAAGTGTCTGTCAACCTCAATATGCTTTGTACGATCATGTTGGACTAGATTGTTAGCAAGATTTATGGCCACTTGATTAGTTGATTATCACAAATACAACCTCATTGGAAAATCCATTTGTATCCCCATTTCTGTCAACATGTTCTTTAACCACAATACTTCTAATCCTCCATGATTCATTGCTCTATATTCAGCCTCTGCCTAGAGCAAGCCACAATGGATTGCTTCTTGCTTCTCCATGACACCACATTACCAGCAACAAGAGTACAATACCCAGAAGAGGAGCACCTATTATCAACAGAAACAGCCCAATTTGCATCTGTATACGCCTCAACATTTAGTTGCCTGTGGTTAGAATACAGCATTCCTTTATATAAGAAAGGATCCTATTCATAGCTTGCATAGGTGAGGTTTTAGGCTTGTGCATATACTGACTTACAACACTTACGGCCTTCCTTTGAGAAATGTAAATTCCCCACCCCACCATCTCAATCCCAAGAAAGTATCTAAGATTGACGAGATCGTTATCTCAAACTCAAAAGCAAGAAATGCTTTCAAATTTGCAATTCCTAATGCATCATCCATTCATCCCCAGTGATAACAATACCATCAATATAGTTGTAAGACCATCAACTCGTCTTATGAACAAAAGTATAGTCAGTCAGATATTACCGAATCCCAACCTTCAGGACAGCCTTTCTATATCTATCAAACCAAGTCCTTGGTGATTTTTTTAGTCCATAAAGAGATTTTTCAACCGACACACCTTACATTAACTCTCTGGAGGCAACTCCATATACACTTCTTGAAGATCCCCATTAAGGATGCATTATTCACATCCATTTGATACAAAGGCCAAGAGTAATGGACAGCAAGAGACATGATCACATGAATGGAATTCATTTTGGTTATTGGAGTAAAAGCTTCTTGGTAATCAATTCCATGCATTTGCGTGCTTCCATTGACCCATCAGCCTTATGTTTAATGGTGTACACGCACAGCCAACAAGGACCTTCCCTTAAGGTAGATGAACAAGCACCCAAGTCTAGTTCATGAGTGCTTCCATCCATGACATCTTTCCAATGTGGTAACTGCACTACCTCTGTAACACTGTGGAGAACAGACATAGAAGAAATAACAGAGATAAAGGCATAATAGGAAGGGGAAAAAAAAAAAAGTTTGATCTTCACTGACACCCTCCCCCTAAAGATCAAGACGAGATCACTGAAAGAAGGGGGTCCACTCAATGAAGGTGATATCCTTGGATACATACATTGTACCAATTAGGGGGTCAAGACAACTACAGTTGATGAGGGGACTGTAGTTGAAGAGGAAGATTAAACGATGACTCATTAGGAAACAAGAGTTGATGAGGGGACTGAAGATGAAAGATTCGTGAAAAGAAGTATATTGATGAGGTTACACAGTTGTCTACACTACATCTCCCCAAAAGCGAGTGGGAACACAAAATTGAAATAATAGGCTTCAAGCAACTTTCAGAGTACAATTGCTTGGCATGGTCCCAAATCTCCTTGGTTGTGTCTAGAAACATAAGGTTTACACTAATGTGATTCTCCATACTATTCCAAAGTGATGTCATAATTTGGGCATTCTCTTGTACCCTTCTGATTCACTCTTCAATGAACCCTCCTTGATGTACTTCACTTGCCTCTTGCAATGAGAGATACCTCAACCGACTTGGCCCATGGGACATAATTAGTACCATTGAGTTTCGCCGTAGTTAATTGAGAAGTCATGAAATCTGATTGCACAACTACTTTAGGTTTAGTGCTACCATTTAATGAAGTCATGAGTGAGAGGAGATCATTGATTTGTCACCTAGGCAAACTATCAAACAGCTGGTATGCAACTACTGTAACACACCTTTTTCTTTAGAAAAAACACCAAGAATCATCAGCCCTCTACTTTAGAAACACTTGGGAAAAACTGCATACTGATAGGCCCCCAATTAATTTTACGTATGCAGGAAAGGGAAAGGTCAGCGGCCAAGGGGGGAAATAATTGAACATGGGGGAACTTATGGCTGGAGGGAATAAGGAGAGTTTTGTAGCATTTATAGCTTGTCAGTTGGGAATAAGAAGAGTAGCATTTATAGCTTGTCAGTTGGGAATAAGAAGAGTGTGGGGCATTTATAAGTTGGCCAGCTGGGCATTTATTATGGAAGGCAGTTATGCTGTAAGATGTGTATAAGAAGGGGCTTTGGGGGATGGAGGAGGCAGACTTTTGTTGGGTACAGAATTCTGAGAGTGCTTGGGAGAGCCGGTGGTCTCTCGAAGAACCGACCTACTGTAAGTGATCTTCTTTTCTGCTGAATGAATGCTAGTTTCTTTTGTTGATGTTCAAGTGTGTGAATTCTGCTGTGAGCCTGAGAACTGTGTGACTTTCTGGGACATAACAGTGGTATCAGAGCACGTCTTTCCTCGGCCATGGTGACAGCTAAGGAAGTGGCATCGCAGGTGGAGGGTTTTGAAGAACACCTGTCTTCTCTGCATGCTGGATTTCGTTTGGAGATGGATGGCTTACGCAATGAGTTTCAGCGACTCGATCCAGATAAGGTAGTTGCTGGACTTTTGAAGATCTCGTCCCTAGAGAACTCGGTACAATCTCTGGAAGGAGGTGTTCAAGATCTGGTGAGACGATTTGATTTGTTGCTTCAGCAACGAGGGGCCTATTCAGCTCCTTTGTCTGCAACTGACATTGCTCCTCCTTTAGTCACATCGAGTCGTGCGGCTGACAAAGGGAAGAGTGCAGCTTTCCCGACGTCTTCTTCAATGTCAGTGCTGGAACATACTTCTGATCCACTTCCTCGGAAGTTGGAGTTGCCCATTTTTTATGGGGAAAATCCGGACGGCTGGCTTTTTCGCGCAGAGCGCTATTTTGAGATTAATGGCTTGCTTTCGGCGGAACGTCTGCGGGCGGCAGTGGTCTGTTTAGAGGGTGATGCACTGGCTTAGTATTATTGGGAGGATGGTAGTTGGGCAGAATTCAAGGAACTCCTCCTTGAACGTTTCCGATCAAAACTCAGGAGGGAAACTTGCAGGAGCAGCTTCTATCATTACGTAATCCACTACTGTCAAGGAATATCGTCACCATTTCGAGGTGCTTTCTGCCCCCTTACGTGACCTACCAGAATCAGTCCTTGAAGCAGCCTTTGTGAATGGGTTGCGCCCAGATATCCAAGCCGAACTCCGACAGATGGAACCCGTTGGGCTGATTAGAAAAATGGTTGCAGCCCAGAAAATTGAGGAAAAGAATCAGGCCTTATGGGCCTATCAATCAAGTTCATTTCCTCGTGGGCCCGC